GTCGTGTGTGCTTTTCGCGTGGGAAGCGGTCTAGCGTTCGTACGAAGTGCGTGAGCTGCGATGTCGGACTCTGCATTTCGGAATTTTTTCGGCAGTACCATACGAAGGCCACATTACCATAGATGATGCAGGGGGGAAGGCTGTTTCCTCATGAAGATGGTGAACATATATCTTGTAAGTAGAGCAAAAATTTAATTTTAAAAAAATCTTTACATGCGTGCAATGCGCGAAATCATATGAGGTCGTTCGGACATATGACGTCAGTAGATTATATTAGATCATGCAGGAGGGAAGGTTGTCACCTTATAAAGGTTGTGACCAAAAATTATGTAAATAGAAGAACAATTTATATTTTAAATTTAATTTAAAAAAAATCTTTACACGCGTGGAATGCGCGACATCATACGATGTCGTTCTTAAATTTGTCCTTACTTTTAATGTCATATGACGTCCCTAGATTACATTAGATCATGCAGGAAGGAAGGCTGTCTCCTTATAAAGGTGGTGACCAAAAATCATGTAAATAGAACAACAATTTATATTTTCAATATAATATTAAAAAAACCTTAAACGCGTGGAATCTGCGACATCATATGATGACGTTCGGCCAGCTGCCCTAACTTTTAACGACATCATATGATGACATTCGTCCGATAAAGGTTAAGCATGTACCTACTCTCATGCGTAAATTCAATTTTCTATAAAACCTTTTTAAGTTCTCACACTCAAAAGTAATGAAATGCTCTCAGGTGATCAGCCATATTAATATAGCATAAAATTCCATAACAAAATTTAAATTCATGTCTCACGTAGTAGCTGAATGTGAATATAATTATTCACACTCACCAAACATCAGATCCACCTGCAGAGGAGCTAGTGTTGCTTTTTTTAATCAGCTCAAAGGCATCAGCTAGTATCCTCTGTGGGTCATAGGAAGTCAGCGGCCCAGAACGTGAGCTGGATGTGCTGCATGAATCAATGTCTTGATGGTATGACACAGTCAGTAACTTTGCTTGTCTCCTGTTCTGAACAATCAACATGCATGTAACCATACATAACATTTTCAGACAACTTCATAAAAAGCCAAATTGTCACAATATAAAAATTAGACAACAAAACTTAAAGCCCACTGAAAGGTTTAGGGTTCACTGACAAAAGATAATGGGTAAAGGCAATGCTGCTCTTTTGCCTAAACATGGCATATGGAGATATACCTGTATTCTTAATCTTGGCATTCTGTAGGTGAGCAGTAAGCTTCACACTATGGATGCTTGATCATCAAGCCAAGAGACTCCAGTAACCATTGGATAGGAGGGCAGCTGGGCCCCAGAACTAGTTTGGATATAGTGGAAAGGAAAATCTGGTATCCTATCAGGAATCAATACCCATCATTATACTGACTTAGAAATCATCATCATCATCAGTAATCTGTCAGACGACAGGACCACAGTCTCTTCCAAAACAATTCCTCCACTTAATGTGATCTAGAGCTTTCTCCTTCAAATGACAGTATCCTCTTCTGTCCCCAAGGTCATCCAGCATCTTCTTACGTCTTCTTGTCACTTCTATCCCCCCCTCTATCTTTCCTTCAATAACTTCTTTTAGAACGCAGTTTCTGCGTAAAACATGACCAATCCAATTAGCCTTCCGTTTTCTTATTTCATGTAGGATATTCCTCTGCTCACTGACTCTAATTAACACTTCTTCATTTCTCACATAATCGGTCCAACTGATCTTCTCCATTCTTCTCCAACACCACATTTCGAAACTTTCCAGATGTTTCTGATCTACTGCCCTAAGTGTCCATGTTTCAGCCCCATACAGAGCTATGCTCCAAATGTAGCATTTCACTAGTTTCTTCCTCAAATTTAAGTCCAATTTGCTGGTAAAAAGATTCTTCTTCTTGCTAAATGCAGCTTTTGCCATGGCAATCCTGGATTTAATTTCACAAGTACACCTTCCATCATCTGTTAACAAGCTACCCAAATATTTAAAACATTTCACATTCTCCAGTTGTTTTTGGTCTATCTTTATTGTGACTGGGGTTGGTTGTCTCGAAATTTTCATTACTTTTGTTTTCTCCACATTCATTTCCATGCCATAGCACCTTCCAATTTCAATTAGTCTATCAATCATGCCCTGTAGCACAGTTTCTTCCTTAGCCATTAACACAAGGTCATCTGCATATTTCACAGTTTGAATAATTTGCCCTCCTACTTTGAAGTCACCGAGCCCATCCAGAGCTTCCTTGGTAAGGCATTCGCTGTACAAGTTGAACAGAATTGGTGATAAACAGCATCCTTGTCGAACTCCTCTTCCAATCTGCACACTTCCTGTCTCCCCCCTGTCCAGTCGTACTCTAACTTTCTGATCCATGTACAATTTGCTAATCAATCTTCTTTCACGCCAATCGATACCTGTTTCCTTTAGGATCTGCATTAATTTGGTCCAGTTTACACGGTCAAATGCCTTCTGCCAGTCTATGAAGCAAACACACAGTTCTTCATCTATCTCCAAAGTTCGTTCTGCTATAATTCTCATCATCCCAATTGCATCCCTGGTTCCTTTTCCTCTTCTAAATCCAAACTGATCTTCTCCAAGTACATCCTCTATTTTCCTTTCAATTCTTCTTTTAAGTATCTTTGCTATTATCTTTGCTGTATGTGCAATAAGGCTTATTGTGCAATGGTCGCTGCATTTTGTAGCTTTTGTCTTTTTCTTTAAGGCAATCATTGTAACTTCTGTAAAGTCCTTGGGCCACTCTCCACTTTCATATATGGTGTTCATTAGTTTTGTCAGTGTTTTCAAACCACCTTCTCCCAGTAACTTGAGCACATCTCCAGGTACATCATCATCTCCTGTAGCCTTTCCCTTCCTCATTTCCTTGATAGCTTTTTCCACCTCACTTTGTAAAATATATGGTCCTTTCTCGTCTGTATCTACTTCTTCTTCCGGTTCAACTTAGAAATAAGAGCTAAAAAAAAAAAAAACATTCTAGATAACATAAAAGTGGACTACATCAAAGTGTAAAATTGTCAGAGAACATTAGTAATCATTGCACAGCTAAAATATTCTTTGTGAGTACTGAGTTTTTCTTAGCCATTTCCTTAAAAATCAATCCTAACATAAGAAGTTGCATACTATTCAAACATTTATTACCATACAAAATTTAAAGACCCTACAGTAAATCATGCAAAATACTGAAGAAAGCAGTCTTCAGGTATGTGGCGCCTTGTAGATGTGGTGTTAACCGACGNGACGTTTCGGAGGAACGTATCGCCTCCATCTTCAGGGCAGAAGGAAAAATAAGAAATCCGAGAGCGAAGACACCGTGAGAACCGGTACAAGCAGACTTCTACCCTGAAGATGGAGGCGATACGTTCCTCTGAAACATCGGTTAACACCACATTTACACAGTGCCACATCCTGGGAGACTGCTTTCTTCATAGTCATTGCCATGAAAACCTCAAATCTTACATGCAAAATACTGTTTCCACTTCGTAAGTTTTCATGGCTGTTACACTACTATCTTATTGTGAACGAAAATATCAAAACTGGTTAGCATGTTGCATCAATTATGTACATAATACTGATATCAGTAATTGAATCAGGGTAGCTATGGACAGACACAGAAGAGAATTATAAAAACAACTCCTAAACTACTCACCTCTTCCAGATCTTTTGCTAAGCGCTCTGCTACCTCAGCAGACAACTCGGATAACCAGAACTGCACCTGCAGGTACAATTAGAAACATTCCAGCTCTTACACTGGTGCACTCTGTACAAGTCACATCAAGATGAAACTTTGTTCGAAAAAAATTGTACAATTATAGAACTTTGTTTGGAGCTCCACTAACGACTATTAGCAAAACCAGGCCATAGTATCAACTCAAGAATGAATAGATTAACATTTAATATTGTAATATTTACTGTTCCCCCCAAAGGTGTCTCCACCTTGTCATGGTGGTGGGGATTATGTTACTCTGTAACCTGGAGAGCTACATCAGTGGAAGTTTAACTACCAGCAGGATCACCCATACTACATAGGGCAAAGGACAGAGTCCAGACTAAGAGAGATACCCTGGTCCTCCAGGTTGGGAGTTGGGCATGAGGCTAACATCCTTATCCTGTAAAAAGAATTTTGTTCAGAAACCTAACAACCAGCCTCGGGTCATCATGCGTGGATCCATTTATATGGCAGCATGCATTGGCCGTGGAGACTAATTGTAGAGGAGGCCAAGGCTCACCCAGGGCTGTAGCACTGAGTGGTAGGTTGGCGGGTGGGAGGGCAGGTAGGTAGGTAATATATTTACTGTTATCTGGAACAGTTAATATTCCATTGTCAGTAGCCACTTAAGATCTTGATGTCACTTCTCTCTTGTCTACCATTATTTCACCATATGCCACTGCAATGTTCTCTTCTTTTTTCACTAAACTAATATGTGATTCACTGCATGCACAATTCCACATCTGCTCCAGCACACATCTATGCTAGTTGGCCACTTTCAACTAGGACTGAACTCAGACTCCTCTCTTCTTGCCTAGCAACCACATTCTTATGGCCACAGTCATTCCAGTACGGTCTCACACTACTGCCAGCGAATGAGGCATTTGTGGTAAAGGCCAGCAAAGAGGGAGAAGTTGCAATTTTTGTCCAGAACAAGAAGCACACATACATTGGTATGTAACCACTTCCCCATGCTCAATTCATGCAAAAATATGAGCCACAAGTACTCCAAAGTCTTATTTTCAATTTTATGAAATTTCACATAAATTGTCTTAAATTATAACTGCATAAAATAAAAAAAATTAGCAGTTATGTTCCAAACTGGACTAAAAGGCAAAGGAAATCTGAATATCTGACTCCCTCTAAAACCAAACACAGCCCTCACCATGGTTATACACTTGTATCACTGCTGCCACTGTAACGAGTCATGACTATACATATAGTGTACAGTGGTCCATCTCTGTACCTCAAGGGATCAAAAATGGAGTCCTGTTATCTTATGGATCTAAGAGGAAGAACTCTGGATTTTTGACTCTGTGACACTGGGTTCATGAAATGCCCAAATATTTGTAAGAGTAAATATAATACATGTAATCAAAATACAGTAAACTCTATTGCTTAACCACCTCTTTGTTCTCTGGCAATTTCTAAGATAATGTACTCAGTATTTTCTACTTGGATGTAACGCTTAGCAACCCAGTATATGGTAACAGCAGATCAAACAGAAGACAAGTTGATAAACAATTTCCCTATTAAAACCATCACAACACAACTATATCAAGGTCAGTGCCTAGTTTGGCTCTCCTACATGTTTTGGCTAGTAAAAGCCATCATCAGGCAAATACATGGCTAACATATAAACACCACTGAACTGCAGTACTAATAAAATTCAATACAATAATATTAATTATATTAAAATACTTGGCATAAAAATACAATAAATTAGATTATATAAAACAAAAGTTATATTATAAAACAAGAATATAATTCTTTGAGTGATGCTTTACATCATTGAGTCAGTTGTTGGTTTTTGTGATTTTGTTGTGTTCCCATGGACAAATTGGAGCATTATATATACACAAAATATAGAATACTCCAATTTGTCTGTGGGAACACAACAAAATCTCACAGATGTACAATAAGGCTGTAAATTTCTTAAATAAATTAAATTTGATATCAAATGCTCAAAATGGTTTTAGAAAAAATAAATCCACGTTTATGGCAATTCAAACTTTTATTGGAGAAATTCAGAAAACTCTAGATAATAAACAGCTGGCCTTTGGTATATATTTTGATCTATCAAAGGTTTTGATGTTATTAATCACAACTTGCTGCTTGCAAAGTTGGAACCATATGGACTGAGAGGAATATCTCATGCATGCATGAGATAGTATCTTACAGATAGATCACAGTTCATTGAAATTCACTATATGGATCAAAAGACTTCTAAAATGAAGACAGTTACCTCATCCCTTAAAGCAATTAAATATGGTGTATGTCAAGGTTCTGTTTTGGGACCCCTTTTATTCCTATTATTTATAAATGATCTGCCCCAAGTTATACATAATGCAGAGGTAGTACTATTTGCTGATGATACAAATATATTGATTAATGGAAAAAATATTTTATCATTAAATGAAAAAATTCAAAATGCAAAGAATCAATTAGAAAATTGGTTTTATGAAAATTGTTTAACCTTTAACGGCCGAATGTTATAATTATTCGCATCAAGTAACAAGCCGAGCTGGCCTAATGTTATAATTTTTAGGGGCAAGCCATGTGCTTCCTTTGTGAGTGCTGGCAGTTTGACCTTGGGTTTGAAACCCAAACAAACTCATGAACGTTCATGTCAGACATTTATTTATTAGCTCTGAACAATGAAATCGTTTATCAGGGTACTGGTTTCGAAACTTTACGTTTAGATATGACTGTTTATGACCTGGTGAGCCAATAGAGGTCAGCTTTGTTTTGAGAAGTTAGAGGAGGAAATATTCGTAAGCACTTTCATAGCAGTGCTACTAGAGCTTTCAAGGAAGTGTGGCTCACTGAGGGATTGGTTTGCAGTGTTGAATTCTCAGTTAGGACGTCAATGGCGGATTTTCTATATTTTGTTAAAAGTTAGGAAGTCAGTGTCAGACTCCTATATTTCTTTTATATCATTTTTATTGTGTATCTCGGAAGTGGTATAAACCCACTGAGCCAGTGTTACTTTGTGCGTAAAGACATCTTCGTCACTGTGACTTTCGGTATCAGTGGCGGACTGGCACTTTTCGACTGCTATTGCAATTACTTTGCATCACAATTTTGCGAGTATTCTTCCACCTACTAGACATGTCTGTTCTCAATGAATATCTGTTACACAAGTCATGTGATGGAAAAATGACGCACAAAAATTTCCGCGAAATTTTGGTGCGTGATTTGATTCTTCAATCACATGAGGCGAATATCACGGTCAGTGGTGTTTTTCGAGGGAGGCCAAGTTCATCTGGGGCCCAACTGAGTCGACTGGAGGTGAAACATTCAAAACACTGACCAGCTAAAGGGAAACAAAGACGTTTGTTCTATAAACAAGAAAAGCGGGAGCACGCTTTACCGCTGTAGAGTGTGATGTCGCGCTGTGTGATGGACTGCTTCGAGAGTGGGACACGCGCGTCAGAGTGAAACTGTGAAGCGATGCAGTCCAACCCGTGTACAGTCCGAACCAAATATTATTGTATATAGTTTCGTCATATTTACATCGCCACCACGATTCAAGGTTGAAGAAAAACAACATGTAAGTCCTTTGGAATTTCATAACGTATATAATAATGATTATATTTTGCACTTCATGACAAAATACTCACAGTTGATTTTCATTTGTAAAACTTGCCCTTTTGTATATATGTAGAAAATTTTATTGTCTTTCAGGTTCTTTTTAGTTCATATTCCGATGTTGCATAGAACGGAAAATATGCATTTTTTTCTGAAACTTTGCAATGTTAAAGACTTAGGGCCATTTAAATTCCGGCCGTAGGGAGCTGCCGGCAATTTAAAAGTCCGTAGGTTAAAGGTTAATAATAAACACGAATAAGTCAAAGGTATTATTTTTTCAGGGAAGTAGATCAATTCCAAGTACCAGACCCCTTTTTTATATATGTGGGTAGGCTGAAAAGTAATGCACACATGCTTGTAGAGCGCGAACAAAAACAAACAGCAAGATTGGGCAAAAAGTACATTAAAGTATAATTCTTAAGTTTCAAAAGCATATATTTATTTTTCAACATAGTCACCGTTAAGGCTAACACATGTCTCCCAACGTGTAACAAGTTTTTTCATTCCGTCACTGAAAAATTCTTCCGACTTTTCTCGAATCCAGGACTTGACAGCTGCCTTCACCTCATCGTCCGAGGTGTAATGATTACCCTTGAGGTCTCTCTTGAGTAGAGGAAAAAAACAAAAATCGCAAGGCGCAAGATCGGGGGAATAAGAAGGGTGTGGAATCGGTTCAAACTTCAGGTTTCGCAGAGCCTCTTAAGTTGCGCTCGAGGTGTGTGGACGAGCATTGTCATGTTGCAAGATTATTGGCGCCAGGCTACCTCTAACACGACAAACTCGATGCCGGAGGTGTTTTAGAGTCTGTATGTACTGAGAAGAATTTACCGTTGCCCCTCGTTCCAGAAAATCGGTCACATAAACTCGGTGAGCATCCCAAAACACAGTCAAAAGAAGTTTTTTGGCGGATGGTTGTGTTTTGAACTTTTTCGCCTGAGGAGAAGACGGATGTCGATATTCAGCGCTCTGTCTTTTCTCTTCCGGGTCGTAACGATGGACCCATGACTCGTCCCCCGTCACAATATTCAAAAGAAAGTCGTCTCCTTCGTCACGGTAGCGCTGCAAAAGTTGCTCGCAGCATTCCAATCGACGCTGTTTGTTCTCGTCTGTGAGACGGCGTGGTACCCATCGTGCACAGATTTTACGGTATCCCAATTGTTCAATAATGAAGCCGACACGTTCCTTGGATATTCCAATATGGTTTGCGATACGCTTTTGAGTGATTCGCCGGTCATTTTGAATCAAATCGTCGACGAGTTTGCGATGATTATCGTCTGTGGCAGTGATCGGACGTCCGCTGCGTGTTTCATCAACAATTATGGCTTTTCCAGGCTCGCAACCACAAAATTTTATTACCCATCGATTTACAGTAGACCTATCAACAGCATCGTCACCATAAACAGCCTTTAAACGACGATGAATCTCAGTAGGAGTCACTTTTTCAGCAGTTAAAAATTCGATAACAGCACGCTGTTTAACTCGCGTTGACATAGCACTAGAACACGTCTCCATACTTCCGCTTCTCGAAATACACTGGATGAACGCAACGACCTCAAACCTGCGCATGCGTATTGAGGGGGAATGTTACTTCCACATGCCACCTGGCGCGCTTCTGAAGGTCATTTCGTTCGCGCTCTATAAGCATGTGTGCATTACTTTTCAGCCTATCTACGTAAATAATGAGGTGATTTGTTCGGTGGATGTAAAATTTTTGGGTATTTGCATTAATGAAGATTTAAGTTTGGCAACCCACACCCAATATGTGTCAAAAACTTAACAAGACTATCCATTTGAGAAAATCCCTACGGGACTCAGTGAGCCAAACTGTTTTAAGAAGTGCGTATCTTGCAAAATTTGAGTCCATGTTGAAATACATCACAATCTAAAAATCATGACTGTGAACCCCTCAAATTTCACACATCATGGAATATCTGAACTGAAACATACATCTGTCCTGGTGCTCAGTGCCTGTCTCCCAGGGAACTTCTTGCAGCAACCAATTGACTTTGGCACAAGCCTCTGAGTCACAGGTTCATGGTCAATGCCTCGTGCTACGTTGTACAGCCACGTTCTGGAATATGAAGAGAACTGTGTGAGGTTATAGGTAAAGTAATGTCATCCCAATTATTGTTTAATTAAATAAAACGCCATGAAGACATATGGGGGAGTGGAGGTATAGCTCTAACATTCTTGACCTAGTACTAGAAGGAGGTGTGTTCAGCTTCACTGCGGAAAGAGCCCCAGTGACCACTGGGCAGGAAGCTGGGTGGGCCTTGGAGCCATCTGGATGCTGTGGAGTAGAAAAAATCTCTTGCCTCTGCCAGGAATTAAACACTGGCCATCCAACCTGTTACCGTTGCTATACGAACTGAGCTGTCCTGGCTCCAAACAGAATTGTGTGTCAATAATTATCATGTGTGCTTGTACCTGATGAACATCTCAGAGATATTATAAAGGTGTTCAACAAAAGCTTGCACAGATAAAATTAATATGAAATAAAATGAGAGGTGTTTGAATATGCTACCTAAACTCTGGATCTCCAATTATCATATCATGGTCCCAAGAAGACAGCACTGAAGGGACACCAGTTTTTGTTAGTTGCTGAAGTACAGCATATTGTGTGCCACTGGATTCACTAGAAGCTTATAAAACTCTATGAGAAAAATGTCTACCATTTGCATGCCTCAATGCTTATTATTTTCATATCATGCTAGACATGAGAGCTTGTAATTCACATATTTTTCACAGATGTCAGTAGCTGATATATGTTGAGAGGAAAAAATGAAATAAAATTGTAAATGGAAAACAATAAAAAAAGAAATAAAAACTGCTTAAGCCTTCAGAATATTATGGAGGCTATAAGGTTCCTGACCCCAGTATACACTACAATGGAATGCCTCTATTTACATACATAATCCTTGCAATTTTCTTTTCCTAATTCCTACCTAAATCACTCACTCAACAAATTCTGCTTTATTTTGTGAAAGCTTACATAACAAGGAGTGCTTACCCTGTCTTTTCATCAAACTGCCGCTGTAGTTGGCTCTCAGTGAACTGCAGCAGGTCAGCCATCACTCTACAACCCAACTGTTCCATCACAACACAGCCAAATTTTCCACCAAGGCTACGCACTTTCCTGATGGGCAGAGTTTTAAACAGCTCCATCACACCTGCCTGTGGTAAAATCGTTTGCCGGTTTGGTTTATGCAGACCACATGCCAACTTCCCCAAGATCTGAAGCACACAGTCAAACTCATCTCAGAGGTCTACATGCATCTTAACATAGCCACCTTATTCCAGTCAACATTCCAAAATCTTATACCAAATGTCACAATAAAACGATTCATATTTTGGAGGTCCAAGGTTTGAATCTCAGCTAAATGATTGATTATCCTGATACTGTTAATAGTTTTCCTCAGTCCCACTAGATAAATGCTAGGGCAGTACTCCCATTAAGCTCTCAGCTTTTCATCCATGACCTTTCCAATTCATTATTTACTTATCATACTCCCACTGAATGCTGTATAAACCTCACCAATTGATAGCACTCTTAAATAAGCCAAGGTTAAATGAAATCCAAAATCTTACACTTTTTTGTGTATCAATTACATTTACCTATCAGAATTACTGGGATTCTGGAAACAAAAACAGACTCATATTTGTAAATTTTCTGTTCTCAATAATCAAGAGAAAAGGCCTGCCCAGCATCGGCCTCCAACAAACTTATTCTCAGTCTTTCCGAACACATACTCACAGACCTAGAGGAAGGAGCCCTCATGAAAGGTTTGAATTTTTCCATAACTTATCCACACTCCAACCTGGATATGGCATGTCCTGTGGAATCCAGTGTTTCCAACCTTCCACAGACCCTGGGCATGGAATTCAGGTGGAAAATCAGGTCCATGTCAGAGAAGTCTAAGTTTTCCAGACTTAACATGACCATGAAGGAGTTGAAAGAAGTACAATTTTTGAGGCTCAACAAACATATTAGGTTTCCTCAGGCAGACATGGGCAACTGCACAGTGGTGTTTGATGAATCCAAATGCAAGGAAAAGTTTAACACCTTGCTGGAGTCTGGGGTTTATGAACCCTTGCCAAAGTTGAGAATAATATATAAGAACTCTTTCCAAGCACAAAACTACTATCCTTATTGATCTAAAACACAAGTTCACTCCATACCACAGCAAACCTCTACATCTATATGGTCTTCCCAAGATCCACAAACTGGACATTCCTCTTAAGCCTACAGTGAGTTTTATTGGTTCCCTTTGCTATGCCCTGGCTGGCCTTCTCCATAAGATCCTAAGTCCCTTGCTGGAAGTTGGAATCCTTTTTTAAGAATTTAGGACACTTCGTACAGTTGTTGAAGTTTGTATATCTTCAATCTTCAGAGACCCTCGTTAGCATTGACATCTTCAGTCTTTTCAGCAATGTTCCAGTCGACGAAACACTACAGGTCATCAGAAATAAGCTCCACAATGATGACATACTGGTGGAACGGTCTACCTTGCAGGTTGAAGTCATCATGGAGCTGCTGAAGTTTGCCTCTGAAACTCATATTTTCAGTTGGATGACAAGTTCTTCCAACAGAAAGATGACACAGCTATGGGAAGCTCCCTATCACACACTGTGAGCAACCTCTTCATGGAGCATTTTGAGAAATTGGCTCTTGACTTGGCACAACATAAACCATCGCTGTGGCTCCAGTACATTCATGATACGTTTGTGGCCTGGCCTCATAGTACAGAGCAGTTACAGGATTTCCTCAGCCACTTCTATAGTTTAAGGCTATCCATCCAGGTCACCATGGAAATGGAGGCCGACAGTGTGATTGCCTTTCCTGATGTGCTGGTAAGCAGGGAAGAGATGGGACTAGCCACCAAAGCCTACAGGAAACCCACCCACACTGGCCAGTACCTCAACTTCAACTCTAACCATCTGCCACATGTGAAAAGAGGTTTGATTCAGAGTCTGCATAACAAAGCTTCCACCATATGCCAAGAACGACAAGACCTGGTTAAAGAAATCTGCAGCCTGAGACGTGATCTCCAGCTCAGCGGTTATCCACAAGGTTTCATTGACTCGGTCATTAATTCCAAGGGTAGCAGTCATCTGACTTAAAGAGCCAAGCCTCTGGGCTCTGTGTATATCCCATATGTGAAGGGTGTTTCAGAGAAATTTCAAACATATAGGGAATTGGTACAATAGAACGATCTTCAAAATTAACAAGATTTTAGGAGTTAACTCAAGAAAATCAGGCCAGAGAGAGATCTGCAACACATAGTACAGTACACCTACAGTATTCCTGTGAATGTGGCAGAAGCTACATTGGAAAAACAGGCAGACCTCTAGCGGTGTGACTCCATGAACATAGGCACATTCTCCAGCAGGGACTTCTAGAAACATCAAGATTAGTCCAACATGCCTATCCAGAGGATCATAGGGTAGGTAGGATTCTGGAAATTGAAAGTAACAGCACGTACAGAAAATACAAGGAAACCACCCTTATGGCATACTTAACCAATTCGATCAGACAACCCAGTTTGGACATTTCTCCTACCTGGATCCCCCTCATCAGCAGTGTGGTTTCTAACTCACGAGAAGATCTGTATGACGTTACATATTCTTCGTGGGTTTTCAGAAGGTTTCAGTCTCAAGTGTTCAGCTTTTAATTCACAGATGGCACTAGTTGTAGATACATGTTTTCACAATTTTTTTTCCATTTCTTTTCATTGGTGCTCATGCACTTGGTTTTGTTGGCTATGTTTGTAACATAAATTTCTACCTCCTTTTCTGTCCCAGTTCCACAAAAGTGCATGTTCTAACACAATTTTCATTGCATATTCTCTTGTTATCTCCCACCAAATTACTTTGGTCTCAGGTGATTAAATAGTTGTGCAAATCTGACATGGATTGTCCAGTGATTGATGTTAGCTCTTTCTAAGGGACCCATATGAGTAGGTGTCTTCCCCCCCCCCCTCACCTGAGGATGGAAAGAGATCCAGTTCCCGAAATGTTGTGTTTTCTATTTTCTAGAACACAGGATGATGGAAAAAGTCCAAAAATCTAGTAATTCTGAGTGTCATATACAACTGCCAGAACCCTTTAGAACATACATTTACCTATTTTCTTTTACTTAAAATCTATACCATTAATATTTCTGTAAGTGTGTGCGCACAGGCATGTGTGTCAGCCTTACAAGAATTTATGGCAGAAAGCTGAATCTATGAACAATCTTTACCCAATTTGTACAGATTTAATAGCTGTTTCTAGATTTTCTTAAATGGTCTGCCTAGGAGTGTTTGTTTAGAAGTTTGATTTATCCCACACAAGGAAGAACAGAGGTTTTGTAAAAGGGGGTTATATTTTACAGAGTTGCCATAGAGCAGCAGGACTTCACAGTCAGGTGTACAATGAAGCAAGTGGTAGTCCTTTTACTTACAGAATCACAATCAGTAAAAGACACATGAATAATCAGAAGTTGGCGGTTCAGACTGTATTGGATTCATCAGCAGTGATTACGAGTGTAAATATATGACAGTTTGGTGTCAGTAGTTATGCAGCCATAAACTCATGACAACTGAAAACTGTGGAAGAAGTTATATTGCACTGGATCGAAGATTGTTAGTAGTCATACCATGAAAATGGAACAAACAAGACAACAAATAAGGGAAAAGATGGCCACGCATGCCCACTACACACAGATGGAACCATTGTGGAGCCGCCTGTGGGCTGAAATGGAAGAGGACACAAAAGCCAGGCAAGACAGGTTAAATGCTGACAGAGCAAAGACAGATGCCAACGAAGAAAAAAGGAAGGCAAACATGAAAGCCTTTACTGAAATGATGAAGAGATGGGAGGCTGAAAGAAAAGCCTATGATCAGAAGATGTGGCTAAGTGAGAAGCTGACTTTGAGAAAATGATAGCCAAGAGGAAAGCCAACCAATAAGAAGAGGTGGGAAGGCTGAAAGCCATTCATGACAAGACATGCGTCAACCAGACGAGAGTGTAACCCAAAACGGAACATCAAAAGAAGATGGATGCTCAGATAGCGGACATTGTAGTTGTGAAGAAGTGTTCGATAAACCAAATCATAAAATGTAGAACCCATTACTATCAGTCATGCTAACCCCTCATACATGACAATATAATTCTGGAAGAGGCTTTCAAACTCTACCTCATAAAATGCCTTACTCCATATCTTTCACGATTCAGGAGGAAACACTATAATATATAAGCACTTATCATATCACATCTATTCTATGTTTCACTACTTACATACACTCCACTAGTACAAATTAATATATAGACTGTTTAGAAATTAAGAAGCTATCTGAAATAAGGAACTTCTACTCGTGTAATTACAAACCAACAACACATAAACCTTTTGTATATTGCAAGTCTTCTGTTCAGTGTTTCATGTGGCTTAAATAAAATTCATCTACAACTGAATCTGTCAGCCATAACATTTGCTTTAATATATTTTTAAAACAATGACACTGTATACAACAATGGTATAGAAAGTGGTGGTGCTCCAAGACAGTTCAAACAAAGTGAATGATAATGAACTTACAATGTTTACATAATTAATACAAACATTTTTTGGAAGAACTACAGAAAATATCAACCATTTTTTTATATAAAATTTAAACTACTGGTGATGCAAACAACAGCAGAAGTCATAAAGAACAAGTAGTACCTATAATGAGAAGTTCACTTTAATGGGCATCTTCTTATGCATCATTAATTAAATTATAATAAGCATAGCAGTACTCACTTCAATTAAAGCACTTCTACATAATTTCTGCTGTAATAAGTACTTTTCTTCAAACTTTGGATTCACATAAACACACATCTGGCAACATAGCTCTTTATGAAGCAAATGAGCAGTGTGGCAACAGCATTCTCACTTCTGATTGACTTGAAGCACAGAGAGAGTGAAGTAGGGAAAGGTGGGTGACACAGAGCAGCAAACCACTACTTTCTTCCCAACCATTTTCCTTTCCCATTTTGACCACCAATCAGCAACATCTCTGATTAGGGTTTACAATAGAAGTAAATAACTCAGTGACACAGTTGCAACAGAGATTAATGAGTACGTAATCAATAAAAAAACCAAACATAAATTTTATGTCTTGTCCAATCCACTTTCATTGCTAGCATGTGCTGTCATGAAACATGGACTATCACCTGCAGAAGCCTTAAACTAGGTGCAGTTGCACCTGGAAGGACTATCTGAGAATGCTGCCATCTTTCCATACTACTTGCACAGCAATGCCCATATTCATCAGTGCACACAGTATTTGTTTTTACTCCTAAAGTGTTTAACCTGTCTCAGGAGTTTGTGATGCCAACAGACAATGTCGTCCTTTTCTATATGTACTACTTTATTTCCCCATCTTCCACAACAGACTGCATCAAGAATAGCATGAAGAGTACCTCTTTTAAAATGACGTTGGCCAGCATCACCATCTATGTGTGCCAGTACAGAGTTTAGCATAGGCAGTTCATTTCTAAAGCAGAATTCAAGTAGAATTCATTAACTTTCAACTTTATTCCACGCTTATTTCAATCACTAAACATTGTAACTTTCTCCTTCCCATTTCCTGCTCTGGGTCTCCAACAGACCTTGTTCTGCTGCCTTTTAGGTTTCAAAAAGAGGCACAATTGAGATACCTGTTGCAACCATCCTCACACTTCGCTCAGCATTTTTTATATTTATATAACTGAACACATTTAATATAACTTGATGTTCCTTGTTTTCTAGCATCTGGTCACATTATCCCTCCACACTAAAAGCTTCAACCATTACACTGAAACACTGCACACAACATAACAATAAACTATATACTCTAAATAAAGTAAAATAATGTAAGGTAAATGTTGAAGTAAAATTACTATGAATCTTTTGCAGTACATTATAGTGTGCTGACCATGAACAATGAACATGCATTGGTGTACCTTGAGCTTATTCTTCAGTGTTTATAAAACAAAAAATACATTTCTACTTGGGAAAGGATGCTTTCTGTGACAAGATATAAACTAGAAGTAACAAAAACTGCAAACATGTAATGCAAAAATTACTGCAGTAGAGCAAGGGAGGAAAATATATTTGTGCTGATTTATCTACAGGGAGTAGCAGCAGTAGAGTATGAAAACCCCATTAAATTGCAGTCTTTTCTAAGAGCTGGATACTCAATAGCACCATTTCCACCTCAGAGGTCTGTAGAGACATAATGTTTCTATTACTAAAGATTAGTAATTAGAAAGGACAAAAGTAGGGAGGTCTCTAATTGCACGATGTTCATACCAAGGTTCATGAAAATCCATCCACTGATTTCAAATTTGTTAAGCAGTAACAGACACATGGACACAATGATACCACAGGCCTCTCTCTTCTTATAAATTATCTCTCTCTTCTTATAAGTAGACTGACCATCCAAAAAAATTTACATATGGTATACCAAAGGCCAGTCACTATCCAAGCAGGCATCAAGTATGAGCCTAAGTACACATAACAAAGACCAGATTAGTTGAATGTTTGATTATAGACACAATGATTTAAGACTGGAAGTATACAAAATATTGCAGGATTCATTGTAATCTGAAAGAAAAAAAACCTTGTTATGAGATATCCCCGCAGAACAATGGAAGCCTGTCTGTTGGAATACTGCTGCTCTCATCTCCTCCATGATCACTCCTGCCACAGCCAGTCTTAGCTGCGCTGCATCCTGCAGTTCAGAGACACTCTCCAGCCATGAGCTGAGGCCTTGCTGTCTCTTCTCTGGTAATAACACAAGTTAAACTGGCTTAGAAGTCTGTCTGACTTCTGAGATATGCATATTCAAATCTTACTATAGCTGACTTCAGTTTTCCCTGAAGAATAAACTCTGTCAACTGAACTCAACTGTAGAGCAATGGTTCTCAAACCTTTTGTAATAGAGTACCATTGAAACAAGAAACTGTATTTGTTTAAGAAGTCATTTTCATTTAAAACTATACATGCATAAAGTTAAATTAAACCCACTCCATATTTTAAAAACAGTTTATACTGTTCATGCTTAATGTGATGGGTAGAACTGCTTAATGGACACATGGGCCTTAAAGTCAGGTATGATTTTGGAAAGCTACATCCTCATGTTCTGCATTAAACATAAGTGGGGCAATCCAAAACTTTCCGAAATTTGAATTTTGCGCGCGAATGGTTATGAGTACATCAAAATACCGCTAGGTGTCTCCTCACACATCCTTCTTGAATCAGTGTGGCAAGCAGGGTCGAGTTGAGTGGTTGGGTTTATTGGTGGTGAACGTATTTCCACTGTTGTGTTTCCGTGAGTTTGCGGTTTTGTGATGGCTGACCTGAGAGAGCAGCATGTCTGTATAAAGTTTTGTTTCAAACTTGGGAAAACCGCTGCAGAAACGCACCAAATGTTGAAGCAAGCTTTTGGTGAAAACAGTTTAGGCCACACACAAACTTATGACTAGTATAAGCGTTTTAAAAATGGCCGAACATTGACTGATGACGACAATCATTCGAGACGGCCATCAATGGGCAAAACACCAGAAAATGTTGTGAAAGTTTGGGATGTGATTCTGCAAGATCGTAGACTGACCATCCAAGACTCTGTAACACCTTAGGACTAAGTTATGGTACATGTCAACGAATTTTGTCAGAGGAACTGAACATGAGGAGGATTGTGTCGAAGTTTGTGCCACGACTGCTGCAAAATGAACAGAAGCAGCATCGCTTGGAAGTCTGAAGGGAACTTCAGCAACAGCTTCAAGAGGATCCAAACCTTCTTTCAAAGGTTGTCACTGGTGATGAAAGTTGGGTTTATGGCTACGACCCTGAAAGCAAGCAGCAATCATTGCAATGGAAGAGCCCTTCTTCACCTCGGCCAAAAAAGCTCGACAAGTCAAGAGCAACATTAAGTCCATGTTGATCTGTTTTTTGATATTGACAGGATTGTTCATAAGGAGTTCATCCCTCCTGGTCAGACAGTCAATAAAGAGTTCTATCGTGATGTTCTAAGGCCTTTGAGGGAGAACATGAGGAGAAAACGTCCAAAGAAGTGGCACACAAACGAGTGGGTACTCCACCATGACAACACATGACCACATATGGCTTACGTTGTGCAGGAATTTTTGGCTAAAACAAGATGGCAGTTGTTCCCCACCCGCCGTACTCGCCAGACTTAGCTCCATGCGACTTCTTTCTCTTCCCCAAGATGAAAATCAAGTTGAAGGGGCAAAGATTTGATACAGTTGAGGAAATTCAAGCGGAAACGCAGACGGTACTAGACACCCTAAGAAAGAAAGACTTCCAGGATTCATTTGAAAAGTGGCAGAAACGCTGGGATCGGTGTATGCGCTCTCAAGGGGCTATTTTGAAGGCGATGGTGCAGAATAAGATCTAGGTATAGATGTAATAGTATTTATTAATATATATCGGGAACTTTTGGATTGCACCATGTATTTTGGTATTCATTTTTGTTGCAGAATGTTCTTAAATATAATATTTCAGGAAAATCTGTCCAACAGTTCTTGAGTTCTTTCATGTACAGAGGCAGACAAACTGACAGACAGATTAAGCAAACTTAATAGGTGCCCTGTACGACTGTGAATGTCCTTAAAGTGCACAGATAACCTGAAAACTGGATAATCGATACACAAGGATAACTGGGGCTATACATCAACTGGAATATAACAATTCATTTTATAAAATCCAATGAAGATCCATGAACAACAGCAGCATTAATCAACTATTGTATTTATTTCATGTTCCATCACATCCATACAAGGCCGAAGCCACTGTATACAGAAGCTGTCACACCACAAGCTTGCTAAATCAGAAAGTAGTCAAAAGAACAAAGCATATAAATCCACAACAATAAATCAAGCATATGAAACCCCACTCATCACTGCAACTAGATAACCTACCATGTGTATATGAAATATAATACAAAATTGGAACATTTATGCGGGGCTATCAAAAATTTTCCGAAATTTTTATTTTGCGCACGAATGGTCATGAGTACATCAAAATACTGCTAGGTGTCTCCCCACACACACTTCTTGAATGAGTGTGGCAAGTGGCATCAAGTTGAGTGGTTGGGTTTATTGTTGGTGAACATCTTTCCATTGTTGTGTTTCCGCGAGTTTGTGGTTTTCAGATTGCTGACCTGAAAGAGCAGTGTGTCTGTATAGTGTTTTGTTTTAAACTTGGGAAAACCTCCCATTTATGCCTAGGTATACTAAGGACACTTCCCTTCAGATTTCCTGACTAAAGTTTAATGCACATCCCTCATTCCTGCAATGCATGCTACAAGTTCAATTAATTTGAATCCACTTGACTTGACTGTCCTGAAAACATTAGGTGAAGGACATAAATTATTAAGTTCCTCACTATGTAATTTTCTTTGTCTTCCTGTTACTACCTCTTTCTTAGGTCCAAATATTCACATCCACCAATAAATTAAAATAAGACACACTGCTTCATGATTCAACTATACTCAGTCCACAAACACAGCATCTACTGCCAAAACATGGGACTAATGTTTGGGCTTTCATCAGAAAATAAACTACTTCATGCCTGCAACACAAACCACCTGGCACTCAACCAACCTTCATCATTATTGTCAACATCTGTGAATCCCACCACAAAAGTTGTGGCTAGCTGAGATGACTGCACTCGGTGAAGGCCAGTAATTCGCTGCTCAACACCTTCAGTGAGATCAATGTATGCTTCATCAACACTGGCTCTTTGAACACAGTGACTGAACTGACAGAAAACATCTGCCACTTCACGCCCCGCATCACGATATCTGCAGGGCAAGCAATAACTCACTTTGAAACTGCTGTTGGTGAGAGACATCATAAGAGCATAATGCAGGACAGCATCAAAACACTCACACTGTAATGAGTCACACCCCAGATCATGAGGCACTGCTCTAGTCATCTACTGACTTATAAAAAGAAACTCTTTAGAAAGATGAAAGAAATTCATGATGCATCAAACTTACTTTGAGAGGTCTGCTTTTCCCCTGACTTCTGGAACATGCACAAGCACTATATTTGGACACTTTCTCCTTGCTTCATCTCCTCTCATACTTCTTGTAACACCAAAATTACGAGCCTCATAATTCACTGCAATGATCCTGCAAACAAAACAAACGATAACAATTAACATGGTACTGCTCACTAGGTTGGATCTCAAGATGCAACACCATGATAAGGCTCAACAACTTCATCCCCTCCACTAAATTTTTGTGCCCAAATACAAGGGTGATCTTTAGTATGGGGACAAAATCTTGTTCCATTTTTGCACTACTTACCAAACAGGTTCTTTGGAAGCCAGCAGACAAGCATCAGAAGGGATGGACCAAAAAATTACTAGGCAGATTCAAGAGCCTACTTAGCTGTGACAATGATAAAACATAAATTTTATCTTAATATACTTATGCTTAGTTACATTTCAGGAAAATTATTATAATTCCATTCCAGCTATCACATCATCCTCTATAGTATTAATCTGGCTGATTATCTGTCATCCACATGCTCATTCTGTCAGCTTCTCCCTTTTCCAGTAGTCTGCACAACACTCAAGCCATATCAAACAAAAAAAGCCACTCTTGTGAATATCACAGTACAACAGAAGTTAACTAATGTTATACCATCACACAAGCTTTACTGAATCCATCACTTTGTTCCATTGTTCCACTATATGTTTTGGCCAAAACTGGTCATCATCAAGTGCGGATAATACTCAGAGGTTGACAGAATCATTAGAACTGTAAAAATAAAATTATAATAAAGTAACTGGTTTGTAAGTCAGATCTCTATTGTAACTGAATTTGTTCAAGTACATTGTCATCTCTGCAGACATAAATTTCACAATATCTATTCACTTAAAGCACAATGAATTTCATATGGGACATACAGAATCAAACGTTAAAACTGAGGAAAACTGAGATGCTTCTCCATCATGGTGTCATTTCCAGCACACCACATCCAGCATAATCTTGCTTTGGTCTTTCCTTTCCTTAGTTGTAATGTGTGTACTTTTACACACTCAATTTTTATATACAGTGGGATGCAAAAGAATTATTATTCTGTGCATGTGTTGATTAGTTTTTTCTAGTTGGTCTGTAATATTCTATTCTTGAAAGGGGTCATTCCATGTCAAATCAGCGCAGTAGCTGGTATGATAATCTTGGATTTCAACAGAATTATGTACTCCTATAGGGTCTGATGAGCAAGTAATAATATAAAGTTTTCTTTTCCTATATGTATTTGAGAACAGCGTGCTGAGAATATTTGGACCATAGAGGGATGAAGTGACAGGTTGGAGAAAACTGCATAATGAGGAACTTCATAACTTGTGCTCTTATCCCGGTATAATTCAAATGATCAAGTCAAGGAGGATGAGGTGGGAAGGGCATGGAGCACGAATGGGGGAGAAGAGGAATGCATATAAGATATTGGTGGGAAAGCCAGAAGGAAAGAGACCACTGGGAACACCAAGGTGTAGGTGGGTGGACGATTTTAAAATGGATCTTAGAGATAGGATGGGATGGTATGGATTGAATTGGTCTGTCTCAGGATAGGGACCAGTGGAGGGCTCTTGTGAACACGGTAATGAACCTTCGTGTTCCATAAAATGCTGGGAAAGTTTTGAGTAGCTGCAGAATGGCTTCTCCTCAAGGAGTGCTCCACTCCCGCAATG